CTGGTTAGAAAACTTAATTGGAAAATTTATCGGACTTCAATGTGTCGGAGGTTTAAGATCGATTGCTAATACCAATGGGCGGCTAGGATCGAAAATATCATTTAGAAATGTATACACGATCACCTGAAAGTGATCAACAAGATCATTTTCGGACTGCAAGCACGTTATTTAAAAAATTTAGTAAGTAAACTGGCACTAGGGCAAAAGAGCTGATTGCTTAAAGCAACTTGTCAAAGATGTTGCTGAATTTGGTGAACACCCCTATTGGCATTTTCAGCATCAAAAGCAATACAATTTCAATATTTGAGATTAAACACTTTTTAAGACAGGATTTTTAAAGCAACTCAAATTCAAGCATAGAAAGTTAAGCTCAATTTAGCGCTTATCAATACTGCTTTGCAAAGCAGCACGAAGACTACACCTTTACCACTTAAAATCCCCAAAACTTCAGATCACAAAACCTTTCACACATCTCCCCTGGCTGCTTCCGTGTGGTCGTGGCGGCAGGTTGACAGCAAACAGCGCTACAGCATGATGCTAAATATTTTCAAGTGCGATTGATGTGCAACATGCCGGTTTTTTGTTTCTGCACTCGCTTTTGTAGATGCTTTTTGTGAAGGACAAAACAATTTTATCGCTTTGAATAATCAAAGGAATTTAAATTGCAACAAAGCGAGCAGGCAGGAACAGCAAAAAAGGGCCTACATACCTAGTGAATGACTGCCTGATGGCGGCAGGGAATCGAAGAAGATGCGTCTGTGGCAGCAGCCGCAAAAAAAAAAATACCAAAAAAACGCAAACAGCCAAGCAGATGCGACATTATTGGCATGCAACAAGCAAGCGATGCGAAGAAAAAAGTACAACTTTGCAGGCGATAAGCGGCGGCAGGTTGACAGGAGAAGAATAGCAACAAGGCCATGGCGGTGGGTGGGAGGAAGAGCAGCGTCAAAAGGGAGCGCAGCAAAGTGTAAAGTGAAAAAAGAAAACGATTACCAAGCGAAACTAGAGGCCAAGCCGGCAGGCGTGTTGGGTGCTGTGTAGAGAATGTAGAGATGTCCGACAATCATAGCAATACATAGCGGCAGATAGACAGCACATAGACAAGAGGTGGCAGGCGACCGCAGCAGGCGCGCTAAACTTTTGGTTCATTTGGTGACTGGCAATAAAAATTCAACAGTCGTGGTCACAGCAAACAAAAAACAACAAAGGCAAAAAGAAGTGTACAAGATGGATTACACGATGGCAAACACGATCGTTGATTTTTGTGGAATAATAGCTGACTAGAGTTGCAAACAACTAAAAAAAAAACAACCAAGCATGTAAAGCGTAGACAAATCTCAACAAGGAGCTTCAAATATGCAACTAGACAGGCTGGCAAGGATGTTGTGGTAGTAGCAGCAGCAACAGTGATTGTTGCCAGGCAGCAGGCACAATGAATAAAATTCAATCGCTTGGAAAAAATGCATAAACTCGATAGTTGCGCGAGTTATTTCTGCGATTCTGCACGCCAACTACCAGCCATCAGCCAGTCAGCCAACCAACCAACACCAGGCATAGAGCAACAATCAGCTAGAGCAGCCACCGAGCAGCAGCGCGTGCAACATTGAAATGTTGCGTGGTGTTGCAAAAGCAGACAATGCAACGAACAGCAATGGGAGGTAAAGCAGGCAGGCAGGCAGACATTCAGACACGACAGACATCAGGCATCCAGCCAGTTAACCAGTCACAGCGCGCACAGAAAAATCGTGATTCGGCGGCGCTTTTTAATGGCTGCTGCCATCAAGCAAACCAGCCAGCAACAACAAGCGCAACAAACAACACTGACTGGATTAAAATATTTGCAACAATTTAACGAGTGGCAGCAAACAGACCAACTGCTGCCGACGAGTGCTGCTACACGTCAAAGTAATTGCTAAAGTTGCAGGCGGTGGCGAAAAAGCCGGCGGGGGAGCGGAACAAACGATGCAGCAGAAGATGGAGTATTGGCTGTTGGTAAATTAATTGTAGCTAAAATTAAATTAAATCCAACTAAATTGCGAATTAGTCGTGAAAAAACGATGATACTTTGGAGCAGAAACAAAAAATAAGAGCAAGAGACACAATGAGGCACGGCAAGCAAATACTCGTATCTAGCATGGCAAACGCAAAGAGTAGCAGGAGGCGCACTTCCGTTCTGTGGCAGTCACAAATGCATGGCGACATAAAAAGCGAAGAAAAAAGCAACGCTACAAAGCATAAAATAAAGTGCAACGCATTTTCAAGGTTTTCAAAAGCAAACACAAAAACAAAAAACACATGATAAAAATAAAGGACAAAAAGAAAATATGCCACGCCAAGTGCGCTGCAGTTAAGCTACTAAAGCAGCGTGTGCGGTGACAGCTTGGAATGGGGGATAAGCTTGCGTTGGGCTAAATAACTACTCGTATTTGATATAAAAACAATATAAAAGTAAATGTGAAAAAAGAACAGACACAAAAGCTGATATTTAAAACCACTCAATATGCCGGAAATCTGGGCAAAAACAATACCTTCTAGAACAACAACAGCGGCGGCTGTGGTAAAAATGTTAGTCGCAAGACAAACCAAAAGGGGTTATATGCGACAACAGCAGCGAAAATTGAGTCACAGATACAGAGGCAGAGAGAGGCAGTGAGACCA